GCAGGCTTCCCTATCAACACTGCTTGCCCCAGCTTCTGACGACGATTTGAATTCACAATGGATGCGCATCGAAAAGGCCTTAGTTTCTGCCAGCAGTTGTGGAGTCGTCTGCCATCCGCCGAAAAGCTGGATCACCGCTGTTTCCTCGTCGCTGATGGACAGACGCTGCTCGGTTCCGGCCGATGCCAGCTGTAGTGAAGAACGCTAATTGGGAAGTATGCTGTTTACAAAAGGACCGTGAAATCTGGTAGTGAAACTCTCCAGTCTCTCTAGTAATACCAGAAAACTTACATCTTATCCAAGTCGCCAAAGGTATCCGATCTGGTGTAAGCGAAACAATTTGCAAAGAGAATGGCCTGTTAACCAGTAATCTTCAGCGACGGCTGGAACAATGGGCTGAACATTTTGGGTTGCAGTTTAGCTGGCCGCCAGCTCCATCTACTTTCTCTGGAGTCCTCACTGGTGCCGAGTGGTCTATCACACAGATCCTCCCTCTTACCAGGAAATCTGGCATGAACACCGCCTCTTGTAGCGCTATAAAGCACCCGGCCCTGATGGCTTACCACCCAATCTATTTAAAGATGGTGGCTATTCGCTGGTTTGAGAAGTCACTGATTTGTTCGCAGAAGTCTTGTTAAAAGAGTAGGTTCTATCGTCAAGAGGTGAGTCGATGGTCGTCTCGATCTTCGATAAGCCTGCGCACAATGTGCTCCAACTACGGGGATATCAGCTTGGTTCCCGTCGTTTGCAAGCTTCTGGTGTCCACCATGATTCGAAGGCTATCTCTAACTCGCGAATCACTACAGTGGGAAGAACAGGCTGGGTTCCGCCCTGGTCGCAGAGGCTTCGATCAAATGTTCATTCTCCGCCAGATCTTCGAATTCCACCATGTGCACAAAAAGCCAAAGATCGTTTTGCTGCTGGATCTCCGTGCTGCCTTCGACTTTGTCGACAGGTCTGCATCGTGGCACTGCCTGTTGAGGAATGGCGTCCCCTAGAAGCTCGTTACCGTATTTTGTGCTAGGTGTAGTCTGACCTTGTGTAGTCAGGAATTGTGACAAGCTTTCGCCTTCCTTTGCTGTCAGCAATGGAGTTCGACAAGGATGCTCTATTGGCCCAGTACTAGTCATTTTGCCATGGAGAATGTCCTTAAAAATGCTCTGGAAGATTCACTGAGCGCTGACGTTGAGCTCCTCCCAGGCCGTTGAGTTGCTGATTTGGATTACAGTGATGATATCGTCCTGCTGGGTAACGAACCACAGGCCGTCCACCTTACAGTTAACCGATTGGCGATTGAAGCATCAAAGTGTGGGATGCACTTTTCCCCATACAAGCGTAAAGCTATTTTTCAAGACTGGCAGATGCCTGTACCTGCCCTCACTCTTGGTGGTGAGATACTGGAGGTTGTGGAGAGTTTTGTCTATCTGGGAAGCTGCATCACTGCCGGTGGAGCTGCTGCAGACTAGATTTTGATGCGTATCGCAAAAGCTCGTCTCGCTTTCTCCAGGTTGGAACTTATGATGCCACCATGATATCCGTCTAACCAACAAAGGGCGGGTTTATTGTGCGACTGTCTGCGCTGTACTGTGGTACGGTTGCGAGACAGCCTGTCCGTACTACTGACCTGCGCCGACTGTCTGTCTTCGAGCACCGTTGCTTGCGGTCCACTGTCCATGTGTAGTGGCTGAACCACGTAATTAATGTGGAAGTTAGCGTGTCTTGGGTGGAGGCAGTCACTCGCTCGAAGAGGATAAGAACACTAGCTACTATCCCGTATGGATGAGTAGAAACTACCGGAGCTGGCCCAACCCGTAGCCGAAAAGGCGGTGATGAGTTTAGGAAACAGGAAAAGGGCAGCGCGAAGATGATATAACAAAATAGCGGATGAATGGCGATCGTTTAGGACGTTGACATAGGGATCCACAAGTTGGCTGAGGGACAGCACCGCGGTAGACAAAATGAAGGAATACATTTGGTGGGAGACCACTCTAAGCGGCCGAAATAGATTAGCTGCCACAGAGCACAACAATTCCTGCTGGATCATCCCTATCCATTCGCAGAAGTTGCAAGAGCCAACATAGTGTTGACTCGCGTGGGATCAAACACAGTGAGAAGCCGATAGATATGGATTGCCTGCACAACATGCAATCAGGGTGGTAGGCAGTGGCATTAACCCTAGCCAAAACGTTCGAGATAACATCGTCGTTCGGAAAGCGTTTGGCGACAGTTTATTGACACCACAGTAAAAACAGAAAAGATAATTGTCAGGTTCATAAATCTAGGTATGTCTAGAAACAGAGATAAATGTGTAGTAATCGAAAGCGGTTCATAAATGGCGAGGGCGAAACGATCTTCTTTGGATTCCAATATCAGAAAGAGGTGTATATCACGCAAAACATTGTGTGACGATGCCAACTAATATGACTAATGGATATCCAGAGATCATCATCATCATCATCATCATCATCATCATCATCATCATCATCATCATCATCATCATCATCATCATCATCATCATCATCATCATCATCATCATCATCATCATCATCATCATCATCATCATCATCATCATCATCATCATCATCATCATCATCATCATCATCATCATCATCATCATCATCATCATCATCATCATCATCATCATCATCATCATCATCATCATCATCATCATCATCATCATCATCATCATCATCATCATCATCATCATCATCATCATCATCATCATCATCATCATCATCATCATCATCATCATCATCATCATCATCATCATCATCATCATCATCATCATCATCATCATCATCATCATCATCATCATCATCATCATCATCATCATCATCATCATCATCATCATCATCATCATCATCATCATCATCATCATCATCATCATCATCATCATCATCATCATCATCATCCACCACCACCACCACCACCACCACCATCATCATCATCAGTACAACAGCTGAAGGTAAGAAACATACTTCAACTATTGTGCCGCAATACATAAAGATAAGAAGTACGAAAAAGTAAGATAATAAACATTGTAGAATACAAAAAGCAAGCAACACACTGCCTAGTAACATATTATGCTTCAATAGAGAGATCGTAGTTGGAGATAGAGAGTACAAACATCCACACGGCCATCGAAAGAGTTAAACGGGTGACAGAGTGCTACGCGACAATGATAGACGGTCATCTAAATAATGAGCTACCTACGCAAATTACCGCACAAGTTGGTGAAAAGGGTCCACTCCGTACTACCGGCCCCGTGTGAACCAGGCATTAGGAAGAGTGAACAGTGATGAGGCAGGACAGAGTGAAGGTGTCGATCAGTAGGTTAAGGGCTAGCCTCACTCTTACGATTGAGACTCGAGCGACACATTCTGTGGGCAAAACGAAATGGAGACAAGCAGCGTGCAAGCACTAGGACTCTCCATCACCGGTCTCGTCTTCTAGCGGGGCTGTACACCCATTAGTGAAGATCCGAGCACAGAGGGAGACAGTGAGAAGTAGAAGGAAGCTGCCTCTCAGCTGCTACACCTCACACAAATACAGTGGTCAGTTACCTTTGATTGACTGTAATCCTCAGCGTGCAAGACCAATGTGACGCCGAATAAGGACCTGTTCTTTTGAACTCATTAGCATTCCATGTTTGGTCAGAGCCACGTGTCTACTCATGGCTAGTTCGTGAGGAAGCACTGATTACGGTGTATTGCTGCGGCGATAACAGAGACATGAAAGCGTATTTACCCAAAAGATCTCACCTCATCAAGGCAGTTGAGCTTATTAAGGAAACATAGCCTTCATCTAACACGACCGTAACAGCCAAATAGCGCGAAGAGCAAGAATAATGGGAGTAATTAACAGAGATACGAAATCGTTTGTGGGGAGGTCGGTTCGGAACACTACGTAGGTCTCCGGTATTCGTAACGATGCGATTGATACTGTGTTAAGCTATATAGATATTTCAATACATGACCAATATACAATTCACAATGCCACGACAGATAGTTAACAACAACAAAAGGGGAAAGATAGGTAGTCAGTTGAAGAGTTTGGAAGATTTAAAAGGCTAATGGGTTGTGTGGGCAGAGATCTTCCCGGTTGCCCAGGCTGAGGAAGAGGGTTAACTTAAGGGACTCAACGCCGCGCCTTTGGTCACAAAGACCTGACTTGCAAAGCAGCGTGGTGATTAACGAAGGCCGTTGACATCCGGGTAACTTATTCGCCTTCTTTGTGTTCAGTATCAGTCTACAGAGAGGCCGGTGGCCAACAAGGTTGTTCATCCTTCCTCCGTAAGGTACTCACTTCTGGTTACAGAAATGAGTGGTCAGTGACCCTACAGCCGGTCACATTGGCTTTGATACAGCGCCGTACGAGCTCTTGTGGTATTTGGTGAAGAACCAGCCCAGAACTCCCCACGCTCTGAGACGCTGCCGCTGATTGTCCGCGACTAATTATTCATCTCGCTTGCAAGTCAAACGAGACTAATTCGCAGGTACCTCCAAAAGGAAGGCATTCCCAAATCCGCAACCTGGGGACGCGCTCGATAGCGTACAGCTCCGCCACGGTGATTAATTGAACGATACCAAATGCCTCGGTATGTAGACTCTTTCGATAACAGATAGTCACTACTCTTCATTCCAAACACACAAGGAAAACTAAGTTCTCTAGCGAAAGGCGTGCTGACGCTCGGATAACGGAACTCAGAAATCGAAAACTGATCTGTAGACATAGTTGTGAGACTAATTTGTAAAGTTCAATAAAACATGGTGAAAATAAAATATAGCTGACCAATACAAAGCAACCAAAACGATTTAACATGTTTGATAAAGCAGAGCGGTACCAGTGAAGAAGTTGGGAAATTGACGTCGCTAACAGCAGTGACCAAAAGTGATACGCTGTATTCAATTTACAACCCAGAAATCAAAAAAGATGGTGAATAACGGGACGTATAGCTGAAGTGTAGCCAAACGGATAGTGAAAGAGTTTGGGAAGCTTACCGGCGAGTCATCTGCGTCAAAATGCGAGAGCTCTTGGTTAGATCAGCATCTGCCTGTCGGAGCTACAATAAAAAAGACGGCAGCATGTAATAATTAATAAGGGCCGATCGTAAATCTTTGGAGATCTGGCTAAAGAGAACAGCCGAGATAGAAAATTAGGGCACATGGCCGTGAGTTGATCGTATTTTATCAGCCTATCCAATCGTCTGCGCGTGGTGACAAAAACCAGCATAACTAAAGAGGCGTCAGGAGGTGAGAAAAACTTTCTAAAGCAGTGGTATCATGAGGCAGAGTAGTTGTTATCGGAGGGAGAATAGATACGAATATCAACATGGAAATAATAATCGCTTGTGATTCAACATGAAGACCATCAATGAAGACGAAGAGTCAATTTCAAATTAAATGGTAAGGTAAAAGCTACGTGAATTGATTTCCTAATGACATGAAATGAATGCTAAAAAGTATATAAAGAGGAAAAGGAATTCGTCTTCTCATGGATGAGTGTTTGTGGCAACCAAATATCGCTGTATTTCTCATTTCGAAAAAGGGAGAGGCAAGACCCCATAAAATGGGACCGCCATTGACCTGGCCACTTGTTTTTAGTCAGAATCAACAGAAAGGCAACATGAAGCAAAGTCCACCCCCACGTATCATAGAAAGATGAATGAGTTTTGAAAGTGGCGTGTTTCGATGTTTTTCCCCATTCCTGATAGTTTTCATTGTCTATGAGACCAGTGGAAACTTCGTATCATTCTGAAATAGGAACGAGGCTAACCATATTGCGTATATATCGCTTGGAGGATAACCAGTTGCAAGCGTTTGGCGACTTGTAGCTAAGGTACTGTAGGGATTCACTGCAGTACCAGCAATGGCGCTCATGGCTACCACGTTGTGGCCGATACCGTATCAGGACTATGTGACGAGAGAACCTCATCGGACAGGTCTAAGAAAGGGGCGATAGAGAATTTGTCTTGAGATACCCGGACCATGACCTATGCATTTGCAATCGTTGGTGACACACACAAAGCCTGTAATCTGACTAGGGCATAAGAAACATGTGCACATGGCATAAACTGATAAAACATATATGGATATTAGTGACTTGTGTATGCGTCGCAGTGACCGTGAGTATGCCCTCATCTTGAGTTAAGTAGCACATGCCAATACATAGGCGCAATCTAGATTCATAACTGATTGAAAGACAACGGAAATCGGCTGATTATAGTGAGCATTCAGTCGGAGCTGATAGATGAATACAAGCTGTCCAGCAGTATTCCGTCGCAACGAGACTGTACCTTAACGTGGTGCGACGGTTTGCGTACCTCATTGACCCATTGAGCTATACTGGGTGATGCCTCCGGGCATCTTGAGAGCTACTCCTACCAGGTTGATCAATGGTGAGAGGTCAGACAAACTCAGTCTCCTGGTCCTCCAGGTTGGGGGTTTGAAATGGGATGGCGTCCATTTCTGTAAAACTAAATCACTGCCACCTCCCCGCTGCCTTGCGGACAGGCTTTTGAGCCAAAGGCTTTGGATGAGGACCCTAATCGTCCTCCTGTCTAGGTCTGGGCGCCCTGACAGTATCTCAGCCCACATACAACCATGACATTTTCTTCAAACATAAACTTCATCCTGCATCGGCCGTCGCGCAGATTATCAAGGGTCGCCTTATCTGCTGCATACAGCAGGGCGGATAAGCGAAAGCATGCTACTGCTGGCGCCTCCCTTCTTTCTTTTCCACCTTTTTCTCTTACTCCCATCCCGACCCCCATTACTAACCTTCCTTCTATAATTCCCAGCTTAATTGACAGCAACCGAAATGCCACTGGAGTAGAACCATCTGCAGCCACCATCCCACAGCACCTATCGGACGCCTATCGGCAAAAGTCCCTTATAAGGCCACGCTATCCAGTTTCCATGGCGACATTCAACGTTCGCACTCTAAGACAAACAGGTCAACAGGCTGCACTCGCACGCACCTTGGACACACTGGGTATTGATGTGCGTTGTGTGTCCGAAACTAGGATCAATGACCCTAACGGGGTTATTGAATTAACTGCACCCGGCTTATCCTCTCGTTATTGGTTGCACGCATCCGGAGACGCCGATGCAGCACTCACGGGTCAAGCTGGTGTAGGTATCATTCTAAGCTCCAAGGCTGAGCCATCGTTGGTTGATTGGATTCCGGTGAACAGCCGTTTATGTGCAGCCCGTTTGACGACATCAGCTAAGGTTGATTCACGAAGTAGTACAAAACGCTGTTTGTTTGTGATTTCCGCTTATGCTCCCACCGACTGCAGTTCTAATGCTGTCAAGGACACATTCTATCACGAACTGAACGCGCTACTACGCAGTGCTACTAGTTCAGATATTATAGTACTTGCAGGGGATATGAACGCACAAGTAGGGCGTCTGAGCTCTTCAGAAGCTCAGCTGGGTGGTAATTATGGGCTTAACTCCGAACGGACTGACAACGGTGAGCGTCTGCTGCAACCGTGTGCGGAGCACCAGTTGTTTCTTAGTAGCACTGCTTTCAGACACAGTGGGCGCCGAAGTGCCACTTGGCGTCCTCCTGTAGCTGGCCAGCGATGGACCCAAATTGACCACATAGCCATAAGTTATAGATGGCGTGGTTCCATCCTGGATTGCCGCTCGTACTGGAGTACCTGTGTCGACTCTGATCATGCCTTGGTACGCTGTCGTTTCTCCATGAACTTTACCGGGAGGCGCACCAAGCGTCTCCTCCGATTGGCAACTGAGAAATTGTCTCAGCCCTCGGTCAGGCAAGCCTATCAAGACGCACTGCATACCGAACTTTCGCTGTCTTGTCCTAATGACACTGAGCTTCAGTGGAATAGGATCTCGGCCGCCATGCACGACGCAGGAGCATCTGCTTGTGGCACTATCCATCGTCACCGCACCAGTCACTGGATATCCGAGAGGTCGGTGAACCTGTTGGAATCTAGAAGACACCTCCCGGCTGGCTCTGAACACAATGTGACCAGACGGGCTATTAGGCGTGAACTAAAGCAGAGCCTACGTGCTGACAAGGAAGCCTGATGGACCAGTCGGACTCAAGAAATGGAGGAGGCAGGAGCAGTAGGCAATTACCGCAAGCTCTTCCAGCTAATCCGCACCACTGGTCCCAGAAAACCAGACGTCAGTGAGACAATCAGAGACAGCGCGGGTGCGCTGATGCACAATAAGGAGCGCCGTATGGCTCGTTGGGCGGAACACTTTCAAGATCAGTTCAGCTGGCCCCCTGCTCCCGAACCTCTTCCTACTCAGGTGATGCAGGACGAGCCATGGACGGTTAGTTTAGAGCCTCCGTCGGAGGCCGAGGTCCGAAACGCGATCACAGCCCTCAATCGTTTTCGTGCCGCTGGCTCGGATTCCCTCCCACCTGCACTATTTAAGGATGGAGGTGAGGTCCTCTGCAAAGCACTGACCTCCTATTCGAATGTATCTGGAAGGAAGAGTGTCCCGCCTAGTTGGGGTGAATCGATTATAGTGGCAATATACAAGAAGGACAGTCGCACAGACTGTTCTAACCACAGGGGTATTAGCCTAACGCCAGTTGTGACAAAATTACTGGCCTCGATTATCGTTCGTCGCCTCACTGCGGAACGGGAATCTCGGATTAGGGAAGAGCAGGCCGCTTTCCGCCCAGGACGTGGCTGTATAGACCATATATTCACTTTGCGGCAGGTGCTAGAGCAGCGCCACGCATACCGCAGACCGACAATAGCTGTGTTCCTCGATTTCAAGAGTGCGTTCGATTCAGTCGATCGATCGATTCTGTTCGAATTACTTGCGCGAAAAGGTGTTCCCACGAAATATGTGAACATCCTTCGTGCTCTATACTCGAACACTACAGGCCGCGTCAGGGTCTACGGTGTCCTATCGGATAGCTTTCCGACCACAAGTGGCGTTCGTCAGGGTTGTCCGATTTCCCCATTTTTGTTCAATTTCGTCGTGGATTCTATCATGGAGTGTTCCCTTGCGGAATCTCACGATGTAGGCGTTGAAGTGCTGCCTGGTGAAAGGTTAGTTGACCTAGATTATGTGGACGATATCGTCTTGCTTTTCGACGATTTTGCGGCGGCACAATCAACCCTGAATAGCCTGTCCAGAGTGGTCCCATTATTTGGTATGCACTTCGCACCTTCAAAGTGCAAAGTGTTGCTGCAGGACCACCAGCCACTTGATGACCCCTTGACGCTTGCTAACGAGGAACTCGAGGTGGTTGATCAATTCACTTATCTTGGCAGCTGCATCAGCAATGATGGGCGCATAGAAACTGACGTCAGCTCACGCATTGCAAAGGCCAGAGCTGCCTTCTTGAACCTGCAGCATCTTTGGCGACAGAAGGGAGTTTCCCTCCGTCTGAAAGGCCGTGTATACAAGGCCACAGTGAGGGCCGTTCTGCTCTATGGTAGTGAGACTTGGCCCCTTCGGTCTGAAGATCTGAGGCGCCTTCAAGTCTTTGATCATCGTTGTCTGCGAAGCATTGCTGGTGTCGGATGGCACCAGCGTGTCCGCAACGATGATGTGCGTAGGCGAGTACTAGGTAGTGATAATCATGCTAGCTCCCTAGAACAACAGATAGCACTGAATAAGTTGCGTTGGCTCGGGCACGTGCTACGTATGCCTAGTCACCGCTTACCTAGGAGGGCCTTGTTCAGTCTACCAGGTGTAGGGTGGCGCAAGACTCGAGGTGGACAGAAGTTGACTTGGCAGCGGAAATGAAGTCACTGACGACCAAACTGGGTGCCGTTGGTCCGTCTCGCCTTCCGGGCTGGAGTCCACGTGACTCGCCTTGTGCTTGGCTCGAGACTTTACAGGACATGGCTCGTAACTGACACCAGTGGCGCGTCTGCTGCCGTCTCCTAATCGGATTGCCTGTTTAAAGTGTGTTTGGTGCTGAGTTATCTGCGGGGTAATGGCTGATTATGACGCGTGGCAGTGAAAGCCGCAAGGAAGCTGTCTCGCCGATGCCGCCTTATCTTTGCACGATAGCCAGCTGTTTGTGACGGTATGTTGTCTACACAAGGTGTAGGCGCCTTGACCCTGAATGTTTGCTTAGGGCATTAAGGTTTTCAGGTAAGTCCCCCTTCTCTCCCTCTTCTTATTCTTTATTTCATAGGTCCTCATGGTTATATGGCAGCGAAACATCAGTTCAAATGGCTGATGTACTGCTGTTAATAATGATGATGAGTATTCGATGTGATATTTGCTCGTTGGGAGCTCACAGCTATCTACATACATTCCGTTATCCCCGAAAGACAGCGGTGATATAGGCTCCAAGAATAGGAAAATAACGACACTATGTGGTCTATGGGTAGAGCAATGCTATCTTCTTAAGGGACCCTGCCCATAGCAATCTTCGGAGCCGGTCCCACTTCGCTAGCAGCCCGGAACAGTCTGACCTTGACGCAGCCCGAAGTTTATTGGCCAATCAATGAGAGCGGGCCAATGATGGCGTTTCGCCTTGAACCATATCAATGAGGATGATCCACCTTGGAGCCTGCCAGTGAGCGCATTATTCCGGTAACCAACAAGTGCATTATCAGGCATCTAGTAATTGCGGAAATCTAGGAAATTCCAGCTAGGTCATTCACTTATGAACTATTTATTTGACCCCAGTATTTGCTTGTATATACTGCATGCCGAGTGTTCCATGTAGTTTTCACCTGAGACCTTTGTTTTCGTATTTGTGAAGCCGCTCGGTCAGCTTACGCAAATGGAGCAAGTTATCCGTACGGTCAGCGGAAACCACAACACATCTATGCCAAACTGCAGAAACGCCTTGGATTTGGTCCGAGTCAAGGGGTCTAGTTTCGAATGGGATGTATGAGACCATATTCACGCAAGCCTGCCAAATGGATGACGCAATGCCACGCGCAAAACTGAATGTCATGCCGGGATAATGGCTCTCCGGAGCTGCGAGCTTAGAAAGTGTTTGCTGTATATTTGCAAAGAACCCTGACGAGCAAGGATGAATCCATATGCTAAGTATATCTGTGTCAACGCCCACACACCAATGCGTGCCAGTTCAACTAGCGAGAATAGGTACCCGAAGAACTAAGCAAATTGCACTTGGTTAAAGGATGTGGCAGTTGTAACCCGTCAATAGGACCGAGGTAAAGCTCCGTTTTTGCGTGAATCACAAGTAACAGAACAATTAGTCAAAAAGGTAGGACGAATGAGAGAAGAGGGTCAGTGATATGAGAGATATAATATGAATACCGGTTGGATATATGAGAACGAAAAGAGTTGGAAACGAAAAGGTGGAAAGATTCAAATGTTTAGTTGCGACCATCAAAATAGGATATGCTAGAGGACGGGATGTTGCTGATCAATGTCAGCGGCTGAAAAGATGTGATAGTGGCTTCAACTCCTAAAGTCGTATACTGTGAACTAGATCTAAAGAATTGACAAAGGCAAATCAAGGAGATAAGTAAGCTTAAGCGTAAGTTAAGAAGTGGATATTTCAAAGGGTTGGGAACTCCCCGTGGTCTATACAGCAAAACTGGAGGATAAGAAGCCTGTGCCCGAACCACCGAGCCTAGACACATGTCCCCAAAGTATCTTAAAAAGATATCGCGATGTTTACATGCGATAGAGAACTGAAGGTTGGAAAAAACCATTGTAAACAAGAGGAAACATCCAAACACAGCAAGGTACGTTGCCATAGGGAATGAGGACTGTTTGAGTGACAAAAAGCAACGTCAAGGGAGGATGATCAAAGTTAAACGGATGATGGTAGGAAGCAATGGAGAATATGCGAATCGGGCGTCAACTACTGTGTCGACCATCTCACGAGAACGTAGACAAGTCACATGGACTCATATGAAGTTAATATGACAATGTAACTCTGACTGACGGTAAAGGAGAAATTAACTGAGAACAGGAAAAAACAATCACTATGCAAATTTACGGAGGATGCGATCAAGGGCTGGCCGCGTGTTGACGCTTTTCAGTTAGTAAGAATATCCACTTCGGTGATAAAACAGTCATTGAAATCGTTTCTATGCAAGAGCCCTCGTATCCAGTTGGCGTAATTGTGCCTTCGCTTTGTTCAGTCCAGTTCAGAAAAAAGTAGTAAAAAGCGCACATAAAGATGTCCTCAAAACGTTTGATTTTGTTACTTGAATTGGAAAAGATAATTGACTATCACTCTGTGAAAGCGCATATAAGGAAAACCCGGACAACTGCATGTAAACACCGGACCTACAGTGTTATGTCGGTCAGAGATTCTAAGTAATTATGTGGAGGAATACACTCACGCGATTACGGCTGCGTTGCAACTTCTCCCGCTGTTCCCCAAGGTCGCTGAGAATATGACTACCAATTTCTTCAGTTTGGAGAGCAACTCGGACACCATCTTCCAAGCGATTTGTAGAGCGAGCAATGCGCTCTGTGTTGTCCAAGAGTCGCGCCCGCATATCGGAATCGTATAAAACTTCTTCGCGTAAGCCTTCATCGTCGTCTAGGGGTAGATTTTTGCTCTGGGTCTTGGCATGCGGTGCATAGCGAGGGCGTTGCTAAATAGTGTGAAACAATGCATAAACATAGTTAAGTACATCGGTTTTCGAACTAACACAAGCGTGCATATGAGATCAATTGGATGAACTCAACGCGCTCATCACTACAAGTGTCTAGCATCCTTGTGACGAAGTGCCTCTTAAAAAACCTATACCCAAATGGTAATCCGGTGCGATGAAGTACAACTAATTGACAGAAGATTGTTCCGGTCGCGTGTACTGGAGCACTCATAATAAACAGCTTGAACGTAGTATCTGGACGGCATAGGCTAGATGAAAAATTAACGAAATCGGAGTCGATACAAAACAAGCTAGATGCCTCCAAATAATTGTGGTGCAATAGCTGGTCGATGAATAAATGAAATGAAACAGTTGTGGACAGCTGAGCATTTAAGAAAAAGCAATCAGCGCAATAAGTGACATAGAAAGCAGTCGGGAATGCACTAGTGTAAACACTACTGCTTCCATCCTATTTAACTACAAGCGGTCGTGTACAGTCGTGAATACAGCCTGAGCGCACAAACGAATTCAGGAGTGTGGACCAGACTGAGGGAAGCGTTTGCCGCAACTCGGACGATTGTATCACTGCGCCATAACATAACAGATACGGACGACTTACAGTTCAGTCGACCAGCTAAGGTTCAAACACCACTGTGGCTATTACGGCGCGGTTGGTAAGAGATGAAACGGTAGTAGAGAGCGAAAAGAACGGGGGAAGCGACGTATCCAAACTTGTAAACGAAATCAAAAGAGACTATAAAAAGCAATTGGGTTAAGATAATCAAAAAAAACATCTGATCAAAAAAGCCTGGTAGATCCGACTGAGTGGATAGCCTCAAGGTGACAATATCAATAGTCGTAGAAAGTAGAAACCACGATTAAACTTCGCACAATAATCTGCCTCGACGTGGAATCGAACCCCGGACACACGGATTACCGGTCCGCTGTTCTACCACTGAGCTACCGAGGGCTGACGACCAGGCGCGCAATGTAATACATGACTTCTGCTTGGTTCGCGACGTATTGCCAATAAGCTCACAGTATCTGTCTTGGTGTTGCAGATTGGCTCACTCACTCGTCACTTCCCAATGAACCGAAGTATCTGTCCCCCTGATGTTCAAAAGGCGATGGTAAATTACTGGTGGTCTTTGTGAGTAGTGTAGTTTTCGTAGAAAGTAGAAGCCACGATTAAACTTTGCACAATAATCCGCCTCGACGGGGAATCGAACCCCGGACACACGGATTACCGGTTCGTTGCTCTACCACTGAGCTATTGATGGCTGACGATCAGGTGCGTAATTTAATACATGACTTCTGCTTGGTTCGCGACGTATTGCCAATAAGCTCACAGTATGTGTCCGGTGTTCGATTCCCCGTCGAGGCAGATTATTGTGCAAAGGTTAATCGTGGCTTCTACTTTCTACGAAAATTACACTACTCACAAAAACCACCGGTAATTTACCATCGCTCTTTGAACATCAGGAGGACAGGTACTTCGGTTCATTGGGAAATGACGAGTGAGTGAGCCAATCTGCAACATCAGGACAGATACTATGAGCTTATTGGCAATACGTCGCGAACCAAGCAGAAGTCATGTATTAAATTGCGTACCTAATCGTCAGCCCTCGGTAGCACAGTGGTAGAGCAGCGGACCGGTAATTCGTGGGTCCGGGGTTCGATTCCCCGTCGAGGTAGATTATTGTGCAGTTTGATCGTGGCTTCTAGTTTCTACGAAAATTACACTACGCACAAAAACCACCAGTAATATCAATAGTGATAATAGTGACTGAAGAAAAGGAAAAGGTAGATAAACAAGCAAAGCGCAAAGGAAAAGTGGTAAAGGAATGTAGTTACTAGATTCCATGAGAGATCAATCAAACGCATCCTTTCCTGAAAAAATGGTCTATCTCGTGGACTAGCGAAATACTCCCGCTACTAGGTGGTCAGGTTTCCAGCAATAGATTTTGATTGAGAACGTAAGTCGTTACCCAGCTTAGTTTTTGAGACTCAATATTTCAGTCCACGTACAACTGTGACTTTCTCCTCCAACTCAACTCTATATCATCTGCGGCGCAAATTCCAAGTGATGCATAGAGCAAAGCGGATACGCAACATCGGACTACTGTAGAAGCATTTTTCCCTCACATGCTCTGTAGGCTCCAGTATACAAAAGAGCCCCTGTATTAGTACTGACACCACACCGTTTGCAACCACCCCCTGACATCATCAAATTCTCGCCCGCCCGCCAGCAAAAGCAATTTGTCAAAGCACCACATGACCCTTTACATGCATTCAAGGTAAGCATTCTAAAAAGCAGAGAAAACTGTATTTGCAAGCGTATACCACCTTAAGTGTTGGCAGGTGCTAAACTAGCTATCTTTAATTTATCCTCTGATTAGTTATTGTGCTTATCCAGGGATGTTGATATAGAAGTAAAAGGTTAAGCCGGTGAGGGGATCTCTCTATGTCCGATCAACAAGCCACGCATGCTGATTGGATGCTTGTCAATGGGCTGGTGTACCGCACGTTCGAGACTGAGTGAAGTACGTGCGTGAGACGGAGCTGGATTGTGTGGGCCCGTGGATTGTGGCTCGTATACTGCGAACAACGTCTGTTATGAATGTGCCGCGCTACTGAGAAATGCTAACAGCTCCGACACAGCTAGTTGTGGGGATAGGAGTAAAGCAACACATCGTCTTTAGTATCCAGGTCGCCTAACTAGAAGTTCCGGGCGCAACCCCGAGATCAAGAGCAAGGAGGATCGTGTACCACGCAAGAACACACAAAATAGTTATTCATAAGCAGCACCATCTTTGAGTACAACAGATGCTAATCTAATACAAAATGTCCCATGACCTCTGGTTCATCAATCCATCCACGTTAGCTGAGGGGGAGAAACACACTTCAGCTATTGTGCCGCAATACAAAAAAGAGGACATTAAAAGTTCATAACTCGAGCCGGCGAGTATGTACAACTAAACGTATCCACCGTCCTTCGGACCCCAGCCAGGCAGTCGGGATGCATCAACTGACGCCAACTTCGAAGTAAGGGTTTGCATTCGTCTCGACCAAGTCAATGCTTGAACGCCCATCCTCCTCTTCCATCCACACCCCCGGTGCGCAAATAAAGCACGTCGCGGGAGTCGGTGTACTGACATGCGCAACACGTGGCCCAGCCATTGGAGCCTACTGCGTGATAAAATAATGTTGAGCGGATCACTCGCTCTTCCTGCCCCAAATACGCGACACCGACCATATTCATTGCTCACGCGGTGTTCCCACCAAACATGAGCTATGCTGCGAAGGCAGCGGTGATCGAAAGTAGCTAGCCTCTTTTTGTCTGTCGGTCGGATGGGCCAGGTTTCACAACCGTATAAGAGTTAAACGGACGGCTGCAAACTCTGCCCTTCAGGATGAGAGTGATGTCACGTCGGCGCCATAGATGGCGGAGATGGGCAAAAGCACCCCGAGCTTTTGTTATACGGTTCGTGATCACATCTTCAATCCCACGGACCCAGCTACTTGAATTCATGAATGATTTCTAGCTAATCACCACCGAGGGTCAGTGCAGGGGTAGGCCTTTACCAATATAAGAGACGGACCTTGCATTTCGAGGGAGCAAATCAAAGCCTAAAACGATTAAAAGTCAGTTCTAATCTGTCCAGTGCTCCTTGGCACGTTTGGGCGCCGTCACATATGAGGGTAGTGTTGTAAGCATACACCAAGTCATGAAGTCGCTCACCATTAAGGTATGTCCAGTGAAAGCTGTTTCCATGACTTCATCGATGACCAAGGTAAAGAGGAAATGTGACAGCGGTCAACCTTTTCTCACATCGCTAGAGATACTGAAGGGCGGCGAGAGTTTCCCATAAACCCACAATCTGCCCGAACTATGCGCGTACAGCACTCTGATAATGTTTATGTATTTGTCGGCACGCATTTGCTCAGCAGACAGTCCCAAAGGGAACATCGATCAACCGAATCGAAGGCACCTTTGAGGTTGAGGAATATGAATACTGTGGGTCACCAATAAATACGGCGATGCTCCACTAATTCACGTAAAGAGAAGATATGATCGATGCAGCCTCGATTTCGAGGAAACCCGGCTTGCTCCTCGCGAAGCTAACTTCCACGAGCGACAGTCAGTCTGTGGAAAACGACAGACGCAAGCGATTTAGAGGTAATTGAAACCAGAATGGTAACTCTGATTGCCGCATTCCAAACGGTTATTAACGTACTCGTCAGAAGCAGTCTTATCAGTATACATTAGCAAAAGCGAGAAACCTCAGCTAATGTGCCATAATACGAAAAGATACAATAGAAAAAGTGATACCAAACATTGCAGAATGTAAAATAAAAGCCCCAAACAGGAAATATAATGTTTAGTACCATATTAGGCATCTAGTGCGAGACTGTGGTTGGAGGTAGAAGATAAACGTGAAGGGAAAGACAAAGAAACTCAAAACAAACGCCATTGAATACTGGAATTAGAGAGCAAGATTTAAATCGTTTGCTCTATGGTAGTTAGATCGGGCACCTGCGCGGTATCACGTCGCTAATCCTGAGCGGTGGCAGCATATTACAACTGCACTACATCTTATCCGGGTGAGATACGCTCTCCATACCTGAATCTGCAAAGTGGGTGCCGAGGAATCACTCAAGTTCTGACACCGATTTCGTCTCGACTATTGTCTTCGACAAGTTGTTTCAGTATTTCATCACTCGACGCTCTAAGCATAGAGGGTGAGCGATAGGCTTCAAATTCGGTACACAGAGTTTGTACTGGTGTCCATGTGTGTTGCTTGGTGCGCGAACTGCAACAGCTGCCTCAGCATAGGGAAGTGGCCCAGGTGCAACAGCCGGTGCGCATCATGAGATCAACTCGAAGCCGATGATGTGACAGGGTATACCTACCTAGTCCCCTACATCGATCCTCGTACGAAACCCCTTAAACAAGGGGATGAGCCGGATAGCTAGATATTGGACCTGCTTCAGTCTCT